ATCTTAGTTTATTAATTGTATTTTTTTATTTAATTATGCATTTTTCATTTTTACCCTTACTTAAGGGTCTTGTCTTATGGAAACCCAAGGGACAAAGATGTCTTTTAGTTTCTTTTAAGGCCTATATATAGAGGCACTTGCTCTTGTATTGGTAGGATGGATTATTAATAAAAAAAATTATTCTGCACACTTGTTCTTTGGAGAGGACTTTAGTGAGATCCCCATGGGAGGGAATCGTAGTTCCCACTAGCCGCAGGATGGGTCCGAGCTCGTGGCTTGAAGTCCCTTGGGGAAGGGCAACGCAACACCCATCAGCTGCATGAAGCATTCGGGCTCACAATTTTATCTTTTTCTTTGTTTTTGTCTCTCCATATTTTTCCTTTAATCGCCGGCTTAATCTCCCCCTAGCCGCTGGCTTTCTACCTCCCATCCTCTTCCCCACCACCAACCACCCCTCCCCTTTCCTCTCAAACGTTAGCTAACACCCTCCCCTTCTTCGAACCGCTGGTATCCTCCCCATCACCACCTCAAACCGCCAGCCAACCTTTACCCATTCCCCACCGCCGACCAAGTCCCATTCCCACACCTAACCCCGGGCCCAATCCCCTTCACCTTTCTCTAGCCACCAGCCATGCACTCTAGCCTAGTCGCCGGCCACCCCACCAATTCTCCAAAGCTCAAATTCTCAATCATCCTTTTATTACTTTCCTAATTTAATTCAAAGCAATTTGGGAATTTCAAATTAATTTGAGATTTGAATTTCACTCATTAATTTGAATTAATTACATAATTCCCTCCCATCTCTTAATTTTGAATTTTAAACTTTGAAAGGTCTTTCATCCCTTTCCTAAAATAATATTCTAATTAAAGAATCATTCAATTACCCCATTATCATCTTCCTAATTTAGCCCCTATCTAATTTGGAAATATTTCATAATTCAAATTTCAAATAATTTGAATTTTAAAATCTTTCCTAAATATCCTACACCTATTTTAGGAAATCCCCCCCAATTAGTGCAAATATGAATTAAATAATTAGATTTGAATTTAATTTTCCCTATTCAATGTATGTGGACACATACATAGAATATGGACATCTTTCCTCCCTCCTCCTTGGTCAGCCCTCTCTCTCCCCTCTATCCTAATTATTTCTTCCCTAATTAAGGGCCCAATTAAGGAGATAATTAATTTTTCTCTTCCCTCCCTTTTTTTCATATTTGAATTTCAAATCCAAATCCATTAATTAAGGGAAAACTGAGATGGAATTTTAGCTCTTTAACTTTTTATTCCCCCCCCTCAATTCTACATCAATAAAGTTTTTTGAAACTTTGATGATGGCCAAGTTGAAAGATCTCTAATGAAGAGGTCAATTCTAAAAAAAAAAGAATTTTAATGCCACAAAATACAAATACTTTTTTGCGACTTCAATCTCACCTAATGATGATCGCGTTGCAAGAACATCTAAATCGGAGGGGATTACAACACTTAAAGAATGCCCAAAATTTCAAAGTTAATCACCAAGAGCACATATTCCAATAAAGTTTAAAATATTCAATATTTATCAAAATCCAAAAAAATATTCCTAATCGTTTTTCGAGGGTAATAAATTTAGGGATATCTCAACTCACAAAGAGTCAAAGTCTTGTCGAGAATATAAAAAAAATTTCATTCAAAGATAACCTTCCTCCAATAAAGATGTAACACGATTCCTATAACTGGTAGTTTTTTCCCAATTGACACTAACAATTATGACCAAGACTTTGACTCGGTGATTTTTTTCGCATACAAACACTAAAATTACAAACACGACCAATGCACATATATTCCTCAATATCTAAAACCCTCTGTCAGCTAAGGTTGACTTGAATTTATCCTCTTAAACAAACATTCACCCCAAATTTACAAAATACCCTTGGACGAAATAACTCATAGTTGTCAATTGGGTCGACTACCTCCTCCACTAGCTATACTAGAAACTAACAACCTAAGTCGATGAAAATATAGAACCTTGATCAATCTTCATCATTCCCCCCACTATCCGCTTTAAATGCAAAATGATAAATTTCAAATTCTATATTAAATTCTTTGTTATATACTTGGTATTTAGTGCCCATTTAATGAATAGCCTTAATAAAAAATGCTCTCCCGTTACTGGAAAAGTGATTAACCATAGAGGCTTGCACTTTTGGGAAACCTGAACTTGAAAAGGGTCACCATTGAGAAGAAAATTTATTTGGTACTTGCAAGCACCACATGCTTGCCACCGAGGACATTTGCGTACCCAGATGGAATGACGCTAATGCTTCTTCATATGGAGGAAAATCATCCAGAAGAGTAGAAGACAAAGAAATAGAATGAACACTAAACTACGAGCTCAACAGTTACAGCCTGTGCATCCATCTACACATCCATCTCTGGAGTCGGAAGCGAATATTCCCTAGTCGGAATAAATTCGAAAATATAAAATAGGTAAAGAAGAATAGCTCTACCAACGTGAAGCAATCATTATGGGCTCAACAACATCAACCTCTAATACCTCAGAAGTAAGAGCCCGAGACTGTTTGCCAGAGTATATAGGGTCCTTAGAGTTGCCAAATCGAGAGGGCTCATGAAAAAGAAATATCAACAATCAATTTTAATAGAGTTCAAAAAGACCCTAAAGGGTAAGCTATCATTAGTGGTGACGGTAAAAATACCGAAAAAAGTGATGGAATCGAAAGATTGCAAAAAAAAAAAAAATACAACTAGGACACCTTCCAAAATACCCAAAATAACAAAATACAACAATTAAACGAAAAACAACTTAAATAGAAAGACGACCATACAATTTATAACATAAAAACACCTAAACTTGCTTTTCCATCGCTTGAGAAGAAAGATACAAATGGGGTGGACACTTGCCGATAGAAGAAAGAGATAAGAAGCCGAGACGAAGTCGAAGAGAGGACAAACTCGCAAGCTTTCCGAAGAAGAAGAAGAAGAAGAAGAAGAAGAATGGAACAAGATCGCAAGCTTTTCTTTTTAGCTTCCAAAAATCAGTCCATAACCCCTAGGCTCTGATACCAAAAAGATTGCCAAATTACATACAAGCTAGGTCTTCTTCCAAAATACCTCAAAATAACAAAATACAACAATTAAACGAAACACAATACAACTTTCATAGAAATAAAACGACGCTTACAAACTTATGAAATAAAAACTCCTAAACTTGATCACTTGCAGAGAGAAGAAAGAGGTAAGAAGCCCGAGATGAAGTCGAAGAGAGGACAAGCTCGCAAGCTTTCCCAAGAAGAAGAGAAAAGGAACAAGCTCGCAAGCTTTTCCAAGAATAAAACCCTAAGGTTTTAGTTCCAAAAATACTATCATATCATCCTTTTTTTATTCTCAAAACCACTCATATATATATAGTTAAAAAGAGGCAGCCAAACATCCCCTAATTTCCTCCAGCCGAACCAATCAAAAAGGGGGAAACATAAGGCCAGCAGGCGGCCTGGAACAGCAGCTGAAGAGGCTTCATGGGGACAGAAAAAAGAAGCCACGGGTACAGGAAAAAACAACCACAGGTGATGTAGGCAAGGATTGGGTCAACTTATTTTAATTTCTGTTTTAGTTCCAAAAATACTATCATATCATCCTTTTTTTATTCTCAAAACCATCCATATATATATAGTTAAAAAGAGGCGGCCAAACATCCCCTAATTTCCTCCAGCCGAACCAATCAAAAAGGGGGAAACATAAGGCCAGCAGGCGGCCTGGAACAGCAGCTGAAGAGGCTTCATGGGGACAGGAAAAAGAAGCCACGGGTACAGGAAAAAACAACCACAGGACAGGAGCCTGGGGAGAAACCGAAAGGCCAACGGAAGGGGGAAAGACAGCCACGGGAAGGGGAGCCAGGGAAGAGGAACCGAAGGGCCACAGAGAGGGGAAAGAAAGGGGGGCAATGAACTAGTACACATGAATAATGAGCTGAAAAAGGTATTTCACAAGACATTAATGAGCTAATTTAAGTAGAGAACTCAGCAGCTCACCAAAAACATAGCAAAAACCAAATAACCAAGCCCAAACCGAGAACCACCAGCAGCCCAAAAAATTAGGCTCATGATTTGCGTCCCCCCTGCCTACATCAGAAAGCTTCGTAGGTGAACAACTGAAGGTGCCACTTAGACCCAGTGTCTAAGAATCTTCCACAGAAAATTAACAGTGAAAGAGACCAGATATAGAGACGAAAGTCTCCAGAAAAAAAGTTTTTAGAAAAGATAAAGGTGTGAAATATGATGCGTACTCCCATAGATCTGCCATTGAAACTTCATAAAAAATGGTTTCAAAGAATGCCCCTCCAGACAATATTCTCAATGGTAAACATCCTGGAGACTCCTCCAGGGAATCCCATCATCTTCTAACTCCATCCTCTCAGGAAGAGGCCAATTTTGATCTCAAAACCCTCTTTGAGGAACTATTCATCCCTCACATTGAACTGAAGATCCAACGGAAATGACACTTGAAAATTTGGGTCTAAAAAAAGGAAGATGATAAAACAATGGAGATCGAGGTGGTCTGCATGGTGAGACACAACAACTAACCACTCCCATGCGAGTCTACCAGCAACATCACGAAATTGAATCTGCTATTGCTTAAAACACAATCTCTCCCGAAGAGTAAGCACAGTAGGATCAAGCGGCAGGTGCAAATAACCCTAAACTTAGAATGAAGTGTAGAGCCAACCATTTACTTCTAGCATTTATAAAACACAAGATAAATAATTTAATCTAATTAGTAAAATTACCACTAGAATATGACAATATTTACAAAAAATAACAAAAAAAAAATCTTATTCATAAGTAGAAAAGTCAAACTATTCACTCATCCCATAGTCCTTGTGTATATTAATCACAACTAATGCATGTTAAAAATACTCATAACAGATGACTTGCATTAAGCATGCACTAATTCCATCATTTTTTCAATAAGGGTGAAGAAAATTGTTGGTCAGGGCAACTTACTGCAGTGTGCTTGATACCAGTTGATTTCCCAACTAATTCATGTTCCTTAAGAAATAAGAGCTCCCCATGGATAGGAAGAAAATGTTGAGGCTTCACAATCCTGAGAACTTCCTCCTACATTATTTAGAAGGAAGCTAAATTTAGAGAGTCATCCACATAACAAGACAAAGAAGAAGCTATGGTAATCTACGGACATTGGAGGGAATAAATCTGTCAATGTTAGCAGCAATAAAGTTTGCAGTAAATAACAAGGTATGTACTGAAAAAGCTGAGAAAATGACAACAAAGACTCCTAGAAAGATTAAATTTGATGGTTTGCATAGAACTTACTAACTCATCACGATACCCATGTCCAGATGTATGTAATAGTTCATTTTTACCCATTACAACAGTGGAGCCAAGATCTGATATACGGTTGAACATCTTCATCACCCGAGTTTCATTTCCAGGGATAACCTATTTTTACATTGCAAAGAGAAAAGAACACAATCAAATCATACTGAGTTCATTTGGTAGCTTGTGAAGACAAAGATTACACACAACAAAGGTTTTCAAAAAAGAAATATCAGAACCTGCTTTAATTTCAATCTGCATCAGCGCTTAAATATCAAATTTAAGTTGGGCAATGGCATTGCTTTCGTTCAGCTTTGGTTATATTGAAGATAGAACATGAAAATAAAATAACCATTTAATTTTCTCCCCACCCTCACAATGCATGTTAACTATAAGAAGCTTAAGGTTATACAGACAATTTTATTTTCTATTATCTCACATTTTTATTTTAATTTTCTGAAGTAGATTCTGGTAACTGCACTCATGAATTTTCTACTGCAACTGACAGACAAAACCCACTTTCATGTAACTCAAAATAAAGGTAACTGAACGAGGTTAGCTAAACATTTTGATATTTGAGAGACACCTATGGCTATCAGCCTTAAAAATTATAAAGCTTAACATGAGCAACGGGAAAGAACCATTGACATCACAAGAGCTATGAGAGGCAATCAGAAGTACAGGCAAAGTAGAATTGCATTATTTGTAAAATTATTATTTGTTTACCTCTATCTTTTTCTTTTGTATTAGCTATATACTCATTTCTTTGATCATTTGATAGCTTTTAATTCCAGTTCATAAAAATGCTTTATAGAACTTAAATTAATAAAGAATGGTAATGATGTAAAATTTGGTAAGGAGATAGCTACTTCAAAAACTACAAATGCGTTAGATGTGAACAAACCACATTGAGTTGTGTTGTGAGAAGCTATAAAAGATCTGTATAAACTTTATTATATTTATGTTTGAGGGGGGAGGGGATTTGTTACATATAAATAACTTATCACCCACCAAGTACTGCACTAAAAATCAAATTTAGCTGGTATCCAATTAATAGAAAGATCTAAAAAAATTCATTAATCCATCCCAGTTCAGGGTATGTATTCGACATGTAACAGATTCATGCTTGGACAAATTAACATAGATCAAAGAGAGATAACCCACTTACGACACTGAATAATTCATTAATACACTTAAAATGTAGTTTTAACATGACTACAATTGTTAAGGTCAAAGAAGGAGATAATAAAGTGTGTTTGGAGAAAAGGTCAGAATTTAAAAAAACTAAGTTTGAATTCATTGTTCACAATCAATTTCCAAGGTAAATTGCAAATCAGGTTAAAGATGAATAAATGTAACTTTGAAGAAAGAATCATCGACAATAAAGTTACTTGGTGACTTTGATCACCACCAAATCAAAGACGTATTAGGCTTTTTTTTTTTCTTTTCCTTTATTATTTGTTTTAATTAAAATCATGTGTCCAAGAAAGGACAAGGAATGAAGCCCAAAATTTATCAAGATCAGGGTTAAAATTATGCAGCATATTAAGTGCCTTGAGGCTATAGCCTCATATGGGGAAAAAGAGGTACAACTAAAATTAATGAAGCACACCGCATTGCATGCCTTGAGGCATACGCCTTTATTTGCAGACTCTTAAGATGAACTTCTGTTATAGCCTATATTCACTACCAGATCCAATGTCTTCTCTTGAATCCAAATAGAAATAAATTATCTGATTTATTGGTAAAATCCTCAAGAGTTCGTTGATTTATTGGCCTTTGATAGCACCTGTATCATTATCTTTGACAGGATCTTAGCAACTGCAAAGTTTAAACAACCTTCCCCTAGAACTCAGATGAATGCCACCATTGATGTGGAGGGAACTATGTCAGACACCTCAATATCTCTCGAGTGAATCAAGTCATGCAAGCTCTAAAAGACTCCCTTTCCACCGAGAAAAGTCTGACAACTACTCATTTTTGGGAGCTGAAGTAGTGAGCTAGAAATTTCTCAAAATCATCAAAGGAGAACATTCATCCCATATAAGATTTTAGAACCACGATAGGGAATGGTGTTTTGGTATGTTTAGCAAGATCTGATATTTCATTGCGGCACATGCTGCATAGAGAGCTATTATGGCCTAAGAGCTTAGTAAATTCTTAGCAAGATCAAACCCCACTACAATTGTTGAGCTAAGAAATGCTGAATTTTTTAAGGAATGATTATTTCATGATGTAACAGATAAAGACATGAGATGAGTGGAGGAACAAATAATTCATAATGTCAAGGGTGAAGGAACGCCATGATGGGGGAAAGAGACAAATGAAAGTCCCTTTGGGTGGGGTCCTTCATAAGGAAATCATGACTTGGCTTCACTTATTTCTGTCCATCATAAGGCATAAAAAAACCCTAATGCTATTTTTTTACTACCCTCTTTTGGATTACTAGAAAGAATGAGAGGAAGTGGAACCTAAAACTCCTTCGTTTTCTCCCCTAGTATGTATGAGAAATTCCCCATTAACAATGTTGAGACAAGTTATGCCCAACTTTGCTATAGCTTAACAGAGAAGAAAATAGAAGTTATTTTTTACTACAATTACAATTCAATGGTCAAAAGGAGTCAAGAATAAGTGCAACAAAAAGAATTCAAACTAGCTGCAAAAGAATGACAGAAATCTTATCAATAGTAAATAAGAGAGACCAACTTAAAATTTTATTCTTTTAGCTCCACTCTTAATGCTACTTCTAAGTTATAAAACTAAAATGATAGGCGAAGGGGCAGACAACCACTAGCAAAAATATGCAATTGTTAAAGATCATCATTAGCACATAGATTGCACATAAGATATAGTACATAAAACTGCTGCAAAAAAGTGTGCAAACCACTTATTCGCTTAGCATAGGACAGGCAAAGAATTTTTTTTAAGCATGCAATAATGGGAAAGATAGGCTAGCAAAAAAATTGTTGCTTCTAAGTTCATTTTGAAGTCTACTCAAATCATCGAAGGTGCCACCTTAAGCAACAATGGCATGGGTACTAGATCTTGTGTCTCGTTAGTTACCCTTTTCTTTCATCTCAATGCCAAAACCAAAATGAGGATGCTAGATTACACTGAAGTCACACCAATGTTTAGAATTACTTCAAGCCGTAGGTGGTATGAAAATAATGAAGGGGCTAGTGGATTAATGCTTTTTTAAAAAAGATAGTATTCACTCTTTCTTTCCTTGTTTGCTCCATGGTTGGGATTTGCAGAAGGATTTCCACTCGCATATTATATATTCCCTTCTCCCTCAATTATAAGCTTATTTATTGGGTAACGAGAAATCTATGATTTCACTGTTATATATGTCTCATTGCGTCGCTGTATCCCCTCATTAGAATATATACTACAAACAAACAGACACCAAGGTGCAGGGCTTGAAAGAATGCTAGGCCAAAAGTGACCTTGACTATTAGATTTCATCTTCTCCATCAGTTCATGTAGTACCTCTAATCAATCATGGCATCACATGTCTTTTTTTTTTTTTTGAAATAAAAAAAAGACGTGATGCCATGATTGATTAAACCTACTGAACTTTTTCTTTTGTAATGGATGGGTGCAGCCATCCAACCCTTATGAATGTGTTTGTAATTTTTATTCCCGACCTACACATAGCCATTGTTTCCCTTTGATTGATGGAGATTGGAGGATGAAGATTAACCATAGGCAAGTGACTAAATAAAATTGAGGCTACATTATTCCATCAATTTTTTTACACCATGCCAGTCAATTGAGACAGGTTAATACGAATTACCCACATTTCTAGCTATCAACTTATCAAGAAATTTTTATGCAACAATCAAAAGTTATTTGCATACTATATGCTATTTATATAACAGTACTAGCAGCAAAACAGCCCCTTAGGTAGATCCCATAGTTTCATTACAGCATATCAGAAAAAAAAAAAAACCTAAATTCACACCAATGTTGACAAATGATTAAGAGGGAAAAAATTTGAACATATTGATGGTTACCTTAGCTGAATATAAAATCACATCATCCTTGGTCAGTTTAAGAGAATGGCTGCCTCCAAAAGATGCTAGATTTAGAGCAGCTCGCGGTTCTGCCTGACACAATATTGTAGACAGTGAAACTGTATCTATACTGTTGCAGATAAAACATGCTGAATCTCAGTTTTTTTTCTTCATGCAATTAATAATATCATCTTACTTGAGAGCCAGTTGTAACAATTAATAAACCGTTAGGGGGATAGGCATCAATCTCCTCCACTTTCACCTGCAGAGCATTACACCAGTTTGTTTTTGTGTGTAACAGTTACAGAAATAGTCAGAACAAGAAAATTTTAGTATTAAAAGGATGTGTAAGAAAAGTGATACATAGCACAAGGTGATGAGGGCATCAGTCGGAGATTCCAAAATGTCTACCGCCGGAAGCATCGTAGATCGATGGCTACGATGAGGAGAGTATATATTTGATATTTTATGTATTAGTTTAGATTTTCTTTATTTACATTTGTACCCCTGCTTGTGTGTTGAGTTAAGTTGTAGCCCTATGGGCATTTTAGTCATTTACTTTCTTTCTCTATGAGGCCTATATATTAGGTCATTGGTCTTGTATCCAGAAGATGAATGATTACTAATGAAAATTCAGCTTTCTTGTTCTTGATATCTTTGTGAGTTCGTGAGAGGAGAAACCCTAGGAGAGGGTCACGCATCACCCGTCAGCCGCCGATGGATTCCGGGACTCGCAGTTAATACTCTTAGCATTTCCTTCTTCCTCCTTCCTTGGCTTCCACCGCCAGCCACCCTCTCCAAGCCAACCCAAACCGCCGAATTACTCTTCCTCCACCTTCCCTCCGCCGGCCTTCCCCTCCCATGAATCCAAAATTGATTATCTTGCCTCTTTCCAAAAGTGGAGCATGAAGATTAGGAGGGAACTCCCATTTAAAATATGATTTCAAATTCAGATTTTGAATTCTTTCCTAAATTGACATAATCCATATTAGGAAAGTGCACAAATCGTGGATCTAATTAATTCAATATCCAGCCAACCCACCACCCGTCAGCCACCCACATCCACCCTCTAGCCCGCGGGCCCCTCCCCCACCAATTGATCAACTTTCACACCACCAATCCCCCCATCCCCTTACTCCACCGCCGGCCACCTCACCATTGCCTTCTTGATGACGATTTTAATCATCATTAACATTTACCTTAATTAGCCCACTTATTTCGGGAGAGAATTTAATCCAATTTGAAATTCAAATTGGATTTCAAATACACTCATAAATTAGCCTTTTCAAATTAGGAAAGTTTTCAATTTGAGAACCAAGGAATTACAACAACAACAACAACAACAACATCAAGCCTTTATCCCACTACGTGGGGTCGGCTACAGTGAACCAAGGAATTAATAAACATTAATTCCCCTCCCAATTTCCCCCACCCTCATCCATACCGCCGGCCCCCCTATGCCCAAATTTTGAATTCAAAATTTGAATTCTAATCCTTCCCTCCACTCTGAATTAATTCTCTTAATTGATTACCCTCCTTGGTAATTAATTTTACAGAGGATTTAATAACCCTAATTCCCCTAACCCATATTTGAATTTGAATTTGAATTTCAAATTCTTTTCCCTCCTCATTTAATTAAATCTGAATTTAATTTCAGATTTAATGCTCTTTCCATAACCCCAAAGCTAGACCCCACAAACCCTAATTCCCTCCACGCTTGGCCGGCCCTCTTGCTTGCCCACCTTCTTGGAATTCCTCTCATCCCATGAGTCCTCTTGCAAGAAAAGAAGTCAACCATCTTCCCTCCGGACGTTCGTGGATCACCGGTCATCTATACATAGCCCCTCCTTCGGCTAACTTTCATTGGATCTCTACCCCAGCTTCCTCTTCTTTGTGGTGACATCTTCCGAATTGTGGCGATTCTTCTTCCACTTACCCTTAAAGAGTGCGAGTGAAGAAAACTCGAGGTGAATTCTCTCTTTGTTACGTGGTGGATTGTTTGTTTGTTGTACTACTTGTTTTCATTATAATTTTGATATTATTTTGAGATATTGTCTTCTATTGTGTGGTTATTTGTCATATCAATTTAAACAATTTTAAATTCGTAAAATCTTTTCAAAGTGAAACATTAAGTTTAAGTTGCGACGTCTAAAAATTTCTACGTGCAATTCCTATGTGGTTTCACATCACAAGGACATGTACTGCGTTTGCCTCTTACAATTTTATGGCAAAGCACTAAGGCTTGTTTGTTTACATGTAAGAAGCGGGAAGTAGAAATTGGTGGAAAGTGGCCGCTTCGGCTGTATGTTTTGCAAGGGAAGGCAAATAATTTCCTCAGTAAGTGGCTAGTTCAGTTCTTTGCCTTTTTGACTTTGGGCATATAATAGCTCTCTATGCAGTGTAAGATAAGTACAACAACAACAACAACATCAAGCCTTTATCCCACTACGTGGGGTCGGCTGCAATGTAAGATAAGTGATGTGATATATATATACACCTATCTTTTGGAAAACCAAACAGCCTTTTTTGAAATGACTTCCTTAGCATCCACTTATAGAAGTAGAAAGTGTCATTTCCTATCGTTCACAGACAACCAAATAGGGGCCCTAAGCACATGTCATTACAAAAAAGGCATAACACATTAGCCTTTATAAACGTGTGTCCTAGTTCCTAAACCATACAACACCACTTTGCTTCTATGAACAAAAGAATCTCTAGAGTAGGGGAAGAGAAAGGAGTTCCATATAATGCTTACAACAACTTCTTTGAAGTGCAACTAGATTTAACTCTGTTATTCGCATTTATACTACCGTCTAAGATGAAGTTGTGCAAAAGTATAATAACCATATGCATAACATACTAAAGTTGAAGGATCCATTGGAGCCTTTCCATCTCTGAAAGCAGCATCTAAGTAAGTCCTCAAGGACATCCCAACAAATACCTGTTGCATGCATGCAAACAAAATGAGTGAATGCATACTGTGAAAAAATGTTAATTACAAGACCAAAACAGCCGACGTAGCTTACCAATTTTCTTCCAGTTAAATCAGCAGCAGCTTTCACACTACCGATACGATGTATATTAGAAGCAAACTGTGTAGTTATGACACGTCCTTTAGCAGATGAAATATGCCTTAACAATGATTCGGCAACAATAGCTTCACTTAAAGTTCTTCCAGGGGAAAGGACATTAGTTGAATCACTCATCATCTGGAACGTTCACAATTAAGTAGTTTATTTTTCTAATTTCATTCTCAACATGACAATGCATGTCAAAATAAGATACAAAATTAAGCGTAATAAATAAGAGAGATGGATGAAACCTTTAGTCAAGATATTTGAGGAACAGAAACTTAAGAAAATCACTCAGCTAGACTAACATAAGATGCGAAAAAACCACCATTAGTTATCTGATAAATATATCATGACAGTTTAAAATTTGAATTAGCTCATGATACACAATCTGAATGGACCCATAAGCAGATTTATTTTTCCAAATGCACAGATAAGGGTTTTTACCTGTTCTTTAAGTCATGCCGTATAAATTTCTTTAGTACTTGAGCTTCACATTAGTTTAAAAAAAAAAATCATTTCTGCAAAATAATTTAGATGGAATTAAGAATAAAAGAGTGGCAACTTTAGATAGGTAAAAGAAAAATTCAAAGATATTTAAAGATGATACTTAAAAATTGGAGGATGCCTCTGCTCAAGTTGTTAATAATCATAGATTTGGATCTCAAAGAAGTTTATGTAATCAAAAATTTGGGAAGGACCCCAAATTTTTTATTACAAAAATTGACTCTTCCTAGATAATAGAAGATTACAAGGACTCACAAAAACTAGACAAATTAGACACAAAAACAAACTTATATAATAAAAAGATTATTACAAACTTGGACACTTACAAACGACACAATAAAGACACCTAAGGTAGCTTTGCCATTCGTCGAGAAGAAGGATACAAGTGGAATGGTACTTGCGGAGAGAATAAGGCAAGAAGACCAAGACGAAGATAGGAGAAGCTCGCAAGCCTTACCAAGAAGTAGAAGAAGAAGAAGTGGAACAAGCTCGCAAGCTATTCCAAAAACCCTCAGGTTTTATCTCCAAAAATCATATTTTTCACCATCCTTTTCCTTCCAAAAACATCTTCTTTATATAGGCTAGAGAGGATCCAAATAAGCCAATAAGATTTAGGGAAGAAAGGTCAACAGCCACTTTAACAATTCTCAAACGGCACAACAAAACAGAGGAGGGAACTCACGAGAACCAAGCAGAAAACACACGGAGCCAAGCAAAGAACCGCGGAACCGAGCAGCCCAGCACGGAACCAAGCAGCCAGCCGCAGAACCGAACAACCAGTCATGGGAACCAAAGGGGCAAGGCACGAGAAATCACCTAGCACAGGGAAATGAGAAGAAAAGGGGGAGGAGAAGATGCAAGTTCTACTCCAAAATAAATCCAAGATTTAATAGCAAACCTTTTTGAATTAATGAGCTAGGAAGTGCAATAAATCCCCTAATCATTGAGCTAAACTTCAGCTCAACATTAATGAGTTAAAACTAAGTAAAATTATAGCATTTTGAGCTCATTACTAAGTAACCAAGACTCATCCGAGAACACCAGAAGTCCAATGGTCAAAACAAATTCTCGTCTTCTTTTGACCCCCC